AATTGTATATACATTTAGAGATTGGGTATAAATACACTAAACATGGTTGTGCCATTTTACTGCATGCACTAATAGTCCAGTAAAAGCAAAATGCTTGGTTACTATGGGGAAAATTAATTTTTCATGGGGATATCTCGCTTACTTGCCCCCAAGGGCCCAGTGTCCTATTAACCCAAATTCAGTGCCATTCTATAATTCTTTAAGCTCCTTTCAGGCCATCTCCCCTTTATGGTGTATTCATTCAATTTATTCTTTGACCCTCTCTCTTCAAAGCATGTTGCCTCTAATTGTTTTTCTATTGGAAAGTTTTATATTCAACTACGACTGTGGTTTTGTATTGCTGATAAAGGTAAATGCAGCTCTCCCTCAAATCAAGCTCAATTCCTAGACATTTCATGTACATTTCCATACAGTTTTTGGTAACAGTATGGCAGGGGGTTGCCATGTTGTTATTTTAAGTCATGCTATTGGATGACTACCTACATGTAATTTTGGTCATGTTTTGTTTTTGTGGAAGAAAGTTTGTTTCTGGAAGCTGAAGGTGAGGGTTAATGCATTGCATGAGTAATTTCTTCCTATGATTTAAACAGTTTTCTATAATTAATAAAGTATGTAGGTATCAAGAAAAAGGTTCTAGCCATGCAATTTCCATAACTAATTTATTTTCCAAATGAGTGGATTCTCTCTCTCTCTCTCTCTCTCTCTCTCTCTCTCTCTCTCTCTCTCTCTCTCTCTCTCTCTCTCTCTCACACACACACACACACACACACACACACACACACACCAATATTCAGTCATGAGAGCCACCATATGCTACATACCCTAGATGAATATTGTCTTCTCAGTGAGCATTAGGTTTCTAGCATGTACAAAATACGCACACACTTTTTAATAGGTCATATAATGTTGCTATTGAGAAAACACCAGCAGTATGATTTCTGGATCATGTAGCAGAGGGGAATCAGTCTGCTGGCAAACAGAACTGGGAAATTCATCTAATTATATCCTACAGTTATGAATTATAAATTATTATTTAGTGTTCTGTATATATATATCCTTAACATGCACTATACTTAATGTTACTGCAGATCTTCTTGAAATATATCCTCTATTAAACTTGGGTTGAAACAACTCAATTTAAAAATGGCTTTGATGCAAAATTCATAGTAGAAAAGAAATTTCATTGTGAGATAATTCTATTACCACTTATGTGAAATGTACAATATTTATTATGTCAAATAGGCTGCTAGGTAAATATATTTGTAGAAGCTAATCAAATAAATTATGCAATGACACAGCCACATCCTTGATTTGTCTTATGGATGAGATTATAGGTATTCAGAAGACATGATAATGTCAAGAAGATTTTGCACACATAACATTGTTGCATGAATGACACAGTTCACACAGGTGAATAATTCACATTATTTGAATAACGACATGTAATGCATGTAAACATCCCCTTTTAAGCCCCTGTGGATGCCTATGGATAAGATCAAAAAATCGTATTGTTTAAACTATTACAATAACAGTAATAGGAAGCTCTCCAGAACAATGTGAGTATGCTTTGAATAATGCTTTAGAGATTAATTTTTAAACCAAGAGCTTTGCCATGCTATCACTCACTTAAATGATAAATGAATTTGTATGAAACCTCTATGAATAAAACTAATGAATTTATTAGTGTTAGGTTTGGACATGAAGTGAATATGCATCTTAATCACAATAGTTAAACTTTGTTCCATATATTAAATAGAATTCCCTATGACTCTTGGCATATAGAAACAACATAGCCCATGTTCCTCCAGTACCTGTACCTCCTAGACATTTGCACCAGCCACCCTATCACAATACTGTGGCACACAGGACAATTCAATATCCCCTCTCCTGCTTGTATACACAAACCCTGCTATAATGTTGCTGTGCTCTGTGCAAAAGCAATTAAAATCCTCCAGATGATGACCTCTGTCTCAAACAGTCTTAATAAAAATTTAAATTTGGTAGCTAAGAATGTTTTGTATTGTGGTAGATTTAGTTAGCCATATACTAATTTGTATGTTTCCCTGTATTTTATTAATGTTTTTAATTACTGTTACTTTTTAAATTACTATCATACTCTTCTTATGCTGGTCTGTGACCATAATACAAATGTGATTGCTATTAAATAGAAATGATAGTACTGTATAAAAGAAAACATTAAAAATGCTGACCTTTATCTACCTGTGCACTTCTACAAAGTGGGTGTATTTCAGCATGCAACTCGGAGAAAGATATCAGAGGAATGTGAATATTTTTGAGAGAAGATAAACCCAAGTATTGGTAGCTTTTTGAAAGCATCTAATAATGGGTGCCATTTGGTGTATTCTGCAGAAATTATGGTTTGTTCATTTCAACTGTATATTAAATCACTATCCAGGGAGTGTAATCAAAAAATTTTATTGCAAAAAAAATCTTATCCCTCTTTTGGATATAATATTAAATGCAACATAAACTTATAAACAGCCTGTAAAATAAATAGGCAAATATTAAAATGTACATTTCAAAATAACATCAACAGTAATTTAAACCATACAGTATGATTGGCTGAATGGCTGTTCATAATGTCTTCAAGTCTCAGTTAAGAAGCAGCACCCCCCAAAAAATTAAATATCCTCAGTGATTCCATTAATCTAAATTTAACTAACATACTTGAGGCAACATTTTTTTAAAAAAATACTTGTAATCCCCTCTAAATTGCTAATTAGCCTGGAGGTGCATGGAAGGGGGTTATGAACCTTTGCATGATTAACTCTGCTTTAAACACATCTGGTAACAGAGAACAGAGGTTAAAGTTTTTGGGGTTTGGGGAAGAAACTACAGAGTCGGGTAGAGTAGTTTCTTCCCCAAACCCCAAAAACTTTAACCTTAGACTGTCTAC